TCAGACACTGAGAAGCAGTATCTTCTGTAAGAAGAAATGAAAAGCATCACACTTGGATTTTAGAAATGTGCCATACCATTTTAATGACTGCCCAGAAAAGCTTCCCTGTGTTTGTAAAAGTGGTGTGGATGTGTGGATGATGCAGAAAACAAATACTCTATTTTAGAAGCAGCTTTAACCAGGCTTCTTAAATTGTTTAACTAGTCTGCTTAAATAATTTATATCTAGGTAGGTGTAAATTATTTAGACTAATGTAGTGTTTTGAAACATCATGCATGGTCAGCCCTCAGAAGAAAGCGCCCAGCAGCAGCAAGGTGTAAAGATTCCTGAGGTGGGTTTCAATGGCAGATTTTATTGAACTGGTGCTGGCTTCTTCTACTCCAGGCACCACTGAAAAATAAGAGCAGTTTAAGTCTGTGTAAATTCACTGCTTTTCCCAGCATGAACAGACAGTGTAGTGCACCCTGAGCATCTCTGGCCACAGAGTAACACATCAGAGAGTTTTAAAAGTACATCCTGGACTGATATTTGAGTATTCTTTCAGCAATGTTCGGAAGAAGAGTTTGACCAAAAAAACTTTTCTGAAAGAAAAGCTCACTAAACCTATAAATACAGCAACACTGTCTTTGCAAGGTAGAAATCTGAGACAATTATTTAAATAACAAAGCAGCTGAAACTGCAATTAACAGGTATTCATTTAAATATTACCCTATTAACTAAATATCATTTAGAAAGTGGTAGATAGCACTAAGGTCTGAAAAGATATCAAATCTTTAATTACCTCACTTGGATTCTTCTTCAAAGCTAAAAAAAAAAGAAGGACTTAGTCTTAAATGTGAGAAGGTAAAAGTGTATTTCAGCAGAATGAGTTTGAGCTCACCTCTTAGTTTTCCCTTAAGTAAAAAGGGAAGAAGATTCATTGATGGGGAACCACTATAAAGACCTCAGCTTGCACCAAACTGAATTATTTTATTCTTATACAATTATTTATTGCAGAATGGTACAAAGTTTCATTGCTTGTGGACGCTATAAATGGAAATAATACATATACACACATATGACCACACTCATCTCTGTGTGACATTAGCCCAATGCTTTCCTTCTTATCTCAGTAAACAAGTTAATAGACTTGAAATATCCATTTTAGTACATATTTTTAAGGTAGTACAAAAATGAAATTACCTGTATAGTTTAAAAAGTATAAGAAGGTGAAAAGTAAATAGGTAATTTTGGAGACAGTGACTCCTTTGTGTCAAAAGAAAACACGGAAAATAAAAGGGATATATTCCTTAATGAAAAAAAATTAAAATTTGTAGATACACAGATTGTGAAGACAGCTGAAAGTTTATTTTTGATCCCTGTTGATTAATGCATTTTACAGAATCATGAGACATTTTGAAATGAAGAATTTCAACCCCTAACCACCCAACTGCATGCACTGTCATATATTTAATGAAATACCCACCTAGACCCCAAGAAGCATATAGTTTCTAATTTTAACATCTGTTTTCCTTTTCTTGAATATTGGTGAATTAGTGAGAATCCATGCTGCAGTATTTGGTAAAGTAAAATGCCGACAATGAATACATTATTACTTATATGTGGGGGAAAAAACAGTTGCACCTAGGTGCTTATCCCTTTTGAACTTGAAAGAATGCAAACCAAGAAAATATAGCTCATCTGTCAGACAGCATAAAATCTGAGTACAAGCAGAATATGTTTGAATGCAGTAACAGAAAGTGGATGCACAAAGTAAAAGTGAAATTTTTATGAACAGATGAATTTGCAGCAGTCACAGCATATGAGCTACAGAGCAAGGATTTTTTTATGGACATCATGGCAAAGATAATTTTTATGAAGTGATGCAGGAAGCAGACTGTCCTTGCTTTGAAGATAATTTTAACTCAAGCAGATTCACTCAGCTTCATTGTAATGAAGAGAATTACAAATAACTAATTCATATTTTCTAGAGTGTAGGGCTCTGCTACATGGTCAAATTTGAGAAATCCTTCTCTTCTTTTCCCTGGCATGTGAACTCTTGGGGCTGGGAAAATATTTGTGTAAATATCACTGATGGCACATCCAGCTCTTCTCGGGGTGGCTAGTGTCACCCCATACTGTGTCTCTTGTTTTGGAGGCAGCATACTGCCAGGGCAGTGAGTAAAGAGGATAATAACAAGCTTTTAGTCCAACTCCCAGTGTAATATAATGTCCATTTAAATCAATTTAATAGAGAATCAATTCAAGGTGAAGACCTCAAGCTGAAAACATCTGATAATAAACTGTTAGGAAAAGATACTGCAGTTGATCATAGCTGGCCCTCAGTCTGCAGTCTGACTGCAGGAGGGTTAACACCATTTCTTGAGGCAAACAGTCAGAATCTGGAGTTTTGTATGTAACGCTTCCTTTTTCAGAAACTCTCAATTCTGCTTCAAGACTGGATCTTAATCTTTAGCCTATATAAGCACACGGAAATCTGTTAAATGCCTAAACAGACAGTGGAAGTTCTCAAATCCATCCTAAAATATCTCTAGGTTGCTTTCTTCTTTTACATGTGTAGTTTTGTTTCAGAGCTCTGTTTCATAATTATTTCCGGATTATAAAAGCATGAGCTGGAGTTAAAAAATGTGGTTATACCACCACTTCCAGGTCAGCACACACAGCGTATGTGCCTCCTTTGTGCTGGTTCCAAGTGCTCCTGGTTCTCTGATTTTTATTCCTTGATCTCACCCATTGTGCCTCAGAGATATACCAGAGGAGTTCCACAATCGCTTCGTGGGAGAGGACTTCAAGTACTGATGTTGAAGAAACACTCGTCAGTGCCTGCAGAAAGGCAGTGGGAAATACAACTCTTCCAGTGAGTCTCTAATATAATTTCTTTAGTTAGGAAACAGAGAAGTAAGTTATTAGGAAGAAATTTTTATGCGGAATGGGAAAGTTGTTATGTTATTTTGATGAACAAAGTAGGGAAAAATCAAATCTATGCTAATGCAGTTGATGTTCAGAAGCTGAGAATGACTGGCAAGAAAGGATGATTGTGTGGTTAAAGCACTGAGGCCTGACTGAGGAAATCTGAGTTCATTTCCTGACTTTGCTCTCTTCAGCTTTGAGCAAGAGATTTAATCTCTCTGCTTGCCCCCCCTTCCTGTACCACAGGAGAGTAATTTTACTTCAGATTGTTCTAAGAATAAATGCATTAATGTGGCTGGTACATTTAAGTTTAAGCAGAAAAAAAAAAAAACAAACACATAAAAGCTTCAGTTCTCATTCCTTCTTTTTCTAAAAAGGCCTTTCTGCTGCCCATGGGGCGAATGTACCAAAGTCTTCATGCCCTGTGTCTAGAAAGATGAGGAGGCACTTGCAGTGCCTGGGCTGACATCTGGGCACACCCAGTTTCTAGTTAAGAGGTGAAGAAGGCTTATCAATTACAGGGTGTTGGTTTTATTTCTACACAAATATACACCTGAGGTGACTGCACAGCTTCCTCCCTCTGGGAGGCCTGGCAAAGCAGGCAGGCAAAAGCTTAGAAAAATAGGCTATTGAAAGTTTTGACAGAAAAGAAACTTTGAACACCCAGTGTTGAAGCACAGCAAATGAGATGGTGAAATGCTGTGGTAGTGTAAACACAAAGGCCCCAAACCAGGAGAGATGCGGAAAGACATTGAGGTGTAAATAATGGTGCAGTGATCTACTTCACTGGCAAGGAACTTCCTGAGCCTTCTGTCAGTGCCTTCTAATTCCTAGCACAGGCAGAAAATTTGAGGAAATTAAACTTAATTAATTCTGTGAGCACCGGCATGGAGAATGCCTGGTCTCCCATGGGTGACTGCAAGAGTCCTTCAGGATTTTTGTACAGCTGGGTCACCACCTTTCTCCTTTGAGTGCCTCTGCTGTAGTGTGGGCAGCAGGACCAAGGCAGGGATCATCCCAATCCCTGTGCTGGGCATTGCTGAGGCTGCACCTCGAGTGCTGTCTTCAGTTCTGGGCCCCCACTTTACAAAGGACATTGAAGGACTGGAGTATGTCCAGAGAGGAGCAACAAAGCTTGTGAAAGGTTTAGAAAATATATCTTGTGAGGAACAGCGAGGGAGCTGGGGTGGGGGCCATCATCACTGCCTGCAGCTCTGTGAAAGCAGGTTTACTGAGGTGGGGCCGGTCTCTTCTGCAGTGCCTGCAGAGAGGACAGGAGGAAATGGCCTTGAACAGGAACAGAACAGATGCTAGAAGACAATTTTTTCACTGTTTGGGTGGTTGGGCACTGGAGTAGGTTGTGCAGAGAGGTGGCACAGGGACAGTCTCTGGAGGTGTCTGTCATCGGGATCTGGTGTTGGGTGATGGTTCAGGGCTTACAGTGGCCGCACTGGGTGATCTTACAGGTCCCTTCCACCCCAGACGATGCTATGATCGTACCCTCCCATGCCGCAGGGCCGGGACACTCGCAGGCCCATTCCTGCAATGCCTTCAACAACTCCCATTTGCCCTTGGTTCTGCCAGCCAGCTCGGCGATTGCTGGGGCAGGCTGACAGAGGCTTTGCCCGCCCGGTGGCAGCGTCACACGGC